GGGACATTGTTGGGGGTTACATAGTGCTGGGACAGGGTGCTTCCTGGCCTCTAAGGCCAGGGTTTCAGGGAAGTGTGAAGCTCCGTCCTCTTGTTCCACGGTCTTCATCGTCCCCTCGACTGTTGGTGTGAATGCGGCTGCTTGGTCTGAAGGTCCCTACCAGGTGTCTGGAGAGGAACGTTGACACCCTTCTTCCTTCCAGGCCTGACCAGCTTGGGTCTGCATGTTGGGTGGTGGTGTAGCTGGCCCCCCTTCTAGGCACTCTGGTGCCCACACAGCTCCCACACTGTCCCTGCCATTAGAATGGATAAGCCAAGAGTGGCAGGAAGGGAAGTGCCACCTGCCCTTGAGGGAGGGGACACAGATATACCAGGGCTCATGAATAGTGCAGCTTCTTGGATTGGCATTTTACTAAATCAGATTTGAGGAAGGAAAATTTTTTGAATGTTTAAACAGGGATAGTGATGACATGATGTCAAATACAAAAATTGTCTGAATTCTAAAAATAAAAGGAGAACTTTGTAGGAGTTTCCGGCTGGTGGCAGACTGAGTCATCTGGGGTGACTCTTTTGACCTGGTCTGCCACCTCAGGGCCAGCCACCCCTCCTCTGCTAGTACCCTGGGGACAGGTGTGAGGAGCTTGTGCTGCTGATGCAGGCCAGGAGTGGGCACGGTGGCCAAGGCCAGGTGCACAGTCCAGCTGCTGAGTGCCAGAATGACTGCTTCTCCCCCACCACTGTCCTGCTGTGGGCAGGCAGGTCATTGGGTCATAGGGATGGGCTGAAGCCCTGACATACACCTTGGCCTTACAGGTATTATCGAGGGACTCATGGGGTCATTGTTGTTTACGACGTCACCAGTGCTGAGTCCTTTGTCAATGTCAAGCGGTGGCTTCACGAAATTAACCAGAACTGTGATGATGTGTGCCGAATATTAGGTGAGGCTGGGGACAGTGGGGTGGAGGGTGGCAGGAGGTGGCCTTACAGGGATGGCTGACTCTGCCTTGCCTTGAAGTGGGCAATAAGAATGATGACCCCGAGCGGAAGGTGGTGGAGACGGAAGACGCCTACAAGTTTGCCGGGCAGATGGGGATCCAGTTGTTTGAGACCAGCGCTAAGGAGAATGTCAACGTGGAGGAGGTGAGTCCCTGGGGAGCGGGAGAGGTGGCCCTGCTCGACCCCCACATCCCTCTCCTCCCCCAGCTTGCTCACGGCCTCTGAGTGAGCAGTGGAAACATTATAGTGACTAACGTCTGTTGGGTGCTTGCTGGGTGCGGGCCCTCAGAAGGTCTTAGCTGGTGTCTCCGCAGTCCTCTGAGACAGGTACCACATCTGCATTTCTAATCGGCAAAACTGAGGTTCTAGAACATCACTCAGCTAATAAGAGGCTCAAACTTAGATCTGCCCACCCCTGGCCTTCCCTCACCCCTCCACTGTCAAATCATTCTGCTCTGGCTTTCCTGGGGACTTAGTTCCTTTCCTGTGGCTTCCAGAGCAAGCGGGGCTGGCTGGCCACACCATGGTGGGGAACACAGACTCCTCAGAGTCAGGCTAAGGCCCCAATCCTAGAGCCACCCTCTGTGTGGACTTCATTTGTTCATCTGTAGCTTGAGGGGAACGTGAGCCCTGCCTTGCAAAGATTGAGTCGAGTCATGTCGAGTGCTTGGCACGAAGTACATGCTTGGCAGACGCTGGCTGGGCTTTTTCGTGCCTTCTGCTCCCACCACTGGGGTTACTGTTACCTGCCTTTCTGGGCGGAGTGGAGAGGACTGTGCATTGGTACATGGAGCTTCACTGGACCCTAGCACTGGAATGGTGTTGGGTGGTCCGGGAAAGTTTCTGGGCAGTACCTCGGGGCCCCACGTACACTGAGGTGGCATGGGGTGGGCAGACTGGGGTCCCCTTCTGTCTGCTTACAGGACAGGGCAGCTCTGTATTGTCAGAAGATTCCAGCTCCAGAAGAAAGGGGTTCTCCCATCAGTGGAAAATCCCCGAGAGTGACTTCCCCTTGTTCACACAGTTTGTGGGTCTTTAGTGTCCCCTGTTGACCTTTCAGTAGTTCACCTCCTCCTCCTAGAAAGGGTTTGGAGGACACACCTGCCAAGCCCTTCACGAGCAGAAACAAAGCTGGGCCTGGGGGGCAGCGGTGCCAGTCTGCCCGGGCCTCCCGCTGGGTCTGGGCTAGTCCTGCTGTGTCACCTTGCAGATGTTCAACTGCATCACAGAGCTCGTTCTCCGAGCAAAGAAAGACAACCTGGCGAAACAGCAGCAGCAGCAACAAAATGATGTCGTGAAGCTCACGAAGAACAGTAAACGAAAGAAACGCTGCTGCTAATGCCCCTCAGGCCACGCAGAGACTGCACTGCGGTCCCTCCCCGAGCCCGAGGCCTGCAGGGGTCCTCGGGGGACAGTCTCAGTTTCGTGCCGTTATTTAAAGAATTCTCTCCACGTTTTTTATTGGGAGGCGCCATCGGCACTTCCTCCCCTTCCCTCTCGAGTGCCAAGAAGGTGTTGGACGAGCCCGCCCTTCCCACTGGTGCCCTCCTCCCTGCTGAGGCGCCTGGACCTGGTGAGGACGCTGCCAGCCAAGCGGACTGATTAACCAATTTGTACATAGTGTATATTGCTTTAACCAGCTGCACACCCTTGTTCTGCTCTGGCCTTGGCCTCCTTAATGTCACCTGTTGCAACAGACCCTCCCCAGCCCTCCCCACCGCCAGCAGCTTCCCGCGGAGGCAGTGTCTCCTTCAAGCTGCGTCTGTGGCCGACCTGGGCTGGAGTGGGCTCTGTGTTGCTCACTCTCCTGCAGGTTGGTGGCTTCTGTCCCTGCCATGCAGGCTCTGACCCCTCTCCAGGGTCTATGCCAGCTGTTCTCCTGACCCCACAATTGCTCTGGGAGCTGGGGAAACCTGGCCTTGAGGCAGCCCTGCCCTCTGCTGGCCCCATGCCTTTGGTTCCACAGAGGCAGGTAGTCTTGGCCTCTGGCTGACAGGTTTCTTTTCCTGCCTTCTAGATGCCTCTGGTACAAACCCAGAGGTGCTGTGTCTTCTTAGAACCCACATGTTTCTGTTCCAACAGAAAGGTAGGGGTGTGTTTGTGCAGAGATGGGGCTTTCAGGGGGCTATAGGAGCATTATTTTAACAGATAAAGAATATGAAGCCAAATCAAATGAATCAAGTTCCTCACAATTATTTTCTTTCCCTGAGGTTTGATTGGCACAGCAGCACAAGTTGTGGCTGTCCTACTTTGGGTCCAGTGTTCTTATAAAAAGCAAATGGCTTTCTGTCCTTGTGGGGCTGGGCTCCTAGCCCTTTCTTGGGAAGAGCCAGAAGTCTATGATACAGCACCAGGCACTTCTGGATGTAGGGGGTGGGCACCAGGGGCTGCTGAGTAATGGGAAGGACACCTCTGAACTGGGCCAGGAGACCTTGGATCACTGACGTAACTGTTGTAGTATGAAGGCGGTAGGATTGCTTAGCAGACGGCAAGGATGGTAGCGGGGCTGGCTAGGGCAGCCAGTTTTGATCTACCCCAGTCCCCTGGTGAAAAGCCAGGGTGTCTGCATATGATTATTGCTCTCCCCTTCTGTGGGACACATCATTCCCCCTTCCCCTAAAAGGATCACGTAACCTGGGAAGAACTGATTTCAGCATCATGAAGTGTTTTATTAGATTTCCTTTCCTAGGCGATTTCCAGGTAAAGCCCTGATTGGACAATCACATCACAGATCACACTGCAGATTTTCCGTGTTAACACTGTGGATGGGTTTTTAATCAATAAAAAATGGGGGTTTCTTCTCACCTGTTTCTCCACTTGTCCAAACTGCCAAAAGACGGGGTTCCGTGTCAGGCCTTTGCTTTGGAGCTGCAGGCTGGGGTCATGGGGCCATGGGTGGTGGAGGCAGGGGCGAGGAGGGTGCTGCAGGCAGCCCCATCTGGCTGGGGTAGCTGGGAACAGAAGTGGGGTCTCTGCCCTCAGGACTGTCCTGGCTGACCAGGAGCCTGTGGCCCAGGGGTCATACTTGCCTCTGAGCACTCAGGTGAGGCCGTATGGAGTGCTTGCAAACTCAAGCAATAAGGGTGATCCTGTGAGCTTCCAGCCCGGGACAGAAGCCGAAGTGGCTTCTGGCACCTGGACGCCCAGATGCAGGTGGTGGGTTAATTTTGGTGACGACAGTGTCTGTCCCATTGAGTGTCACACGCATGAATGGGGGGGTTGTTGGGTGGGGGTGGGGGACTCAGGGCTAGACCGACATCCTGGTGGACCTGATGTGAAATTCCTGTCAAACAACAACTTTTAAATGGTTTGCTAGGATTATTTCTGTATTGAAAGTTTCTAATTATGCTTTTTAAAAAAAATCACTAAAAATAAAGGTTCAAGCTGCCAAATTTTCTTTCAGGGTCTTTTTGCTCTGCTCTGAGTGGGCCTGGCTTCTTCCCACCTATTATGTCCAGCTCTTGTATTTAGCCTGAGTCTTGTACAGGTGTCAAGGCCCTGGGACACTAAGAAGCCAAGTCCATTTTCTCCATGAGCAATTGGTCCAGGGTTGAGCATCAGTCTGGACGGAAAGCACTGGCTGGGAGCACGCATGGGCAGGTGCCAGGGGAGGCTCCATGTTTATTCTCCACAGGCCAGAAGGACGCAGTGGAAGCTTTTGCCTGGAATGATTTCTCTGGATGTTTTCTGCCAAGCCCCAAGGCCCTGTTCTCAGCCTGGGGAGCAGTGCTGGCAGGGCTGTCTGGAGTCTGCACACTGGAGTTCTGGCGGGGAGCTCCACACCTGATGGAAGAGGCGCAGGCCAGGACAGGACAGGATGCTGCCACCTTCCAGCAAATGAGCCCCTTCCAGGCTCAATCGACGGTATCAGAGGGCAGGAGGTGGCCTCCCAGGTGTGGGCCCAGCTACTGCTACTCTTCCTCAGCAGCCAGTGGTGGTTCTGACGAGCAGGCCACATTTGGACCAAATGACCCCTCCCCATACCCAGTGACTGAGGCAGAAAGCTCTGTAGAAATTTGTTTTATTCTTATTCAGACTATTTTCAAAAGAAGCAGTGGTGCGGTTTTTCTAAAAATATGCCTTTATAGATTTATATATATGTATATTATAAAATCCATACATGTATTTACACGTTTGCTACATACAAAATTACAGCACTGTGGTATGTACATATCTATAGGTACATTCTTTCTGCTCATCCCTGCTGTGCTTTTCCCCTGGAGCGAGGGAGACTGAATCAGTGGTAAGCAGCTGAGGGCAGGCTGGGCCTGAAGAGCCTCGAGTTAGGGCCTCAACAGAGACAGTAGGGTGGCTGCTGTGGAAGGAGCAGAAGCAGCAGGGTTAGACCCTGGCCCTCTGCAGGCCCGGTGGACAGTATGTGGAGGCTCCCAGTAGCCTCCCTTACACCCATGGTGTCAGTGCTGCCTTGGAGGAGGGGGTGGCTGGCCATACCCCTATGAGGACATTCTGTGGCCAGGACTTGCTCAACTGGGCCAAGAAATTATATTTGAGGGGCAGGGGGCTGTGGAAACAAGATGAGCCCTCTGTCAGCCCTGGGCCTTCCACGAAGAAGAGAGGACTGGACCACTAATTGATGCCTGTCACCAACCAGCGAGAACGCCATCTGGCCCAGGCCTCGCTAAGGGTAAAGGACTATTCTGGAGAAGGCTGGGGAGGAGAGTTGGCGGTGGCCAGGGGGCAGGGCCATCCTTCCTCCCTGGGGCTTAGGATGGCCTCAGCGGAGCTTGGGTACACCCCAGCTCTTAGGCTCCTTGGCCGCAGGCTGGGCCTCCTGCCTGCAGAGGGGCCCCAGCAGAGGTGCATGCACATGGGTAAGGGGCCGCACCTCCCCTTACTCTGGGCCAGTGGCTGGGGCAGGAATGGAGGCGTAGGCCGGGCCTGCTGCTCTGCAGGACTAGGCAGGCCCCTGAGGCTCAAGCCTTCCAAGGCATGCAGATGAGGGCCTCCGTTTCTTCTGTTGCCCATTATCTAAAATTGCGGAGGCAGCAGTGCCTGCCAGGTGGGCTGAGATCAAGTGGGTCTGAGCAGCAGAGCCCAACCCACAGGCTGCTCTGGAAGGTGGCCTGACCCCTGCTCGATAATGGGATCCTGGGAGCCCAGGCTTGGGCTTGGCTAGAGCAGCTTTCAGAGGCCAAGAGGCCCCTGCCTCTTGGTCTATCCACACTGACAAAAGGGAGTGGGTTCTCTGGGACCTATTGGGCCCCAGTGTGGGCGGGCAGTGCAGCTCCCCTAGGCCACAGGGGAGGCCCTTGCTCACACTGCCTTCTAGCTGCTTCCAGTCTGCCTGTTCTCCGTGGCCAGACTCCTCCCAATTTAAATTTTCCTGAAGAATGAGAAGAGCCGTTTGCCTTCGGCGGTGCCAGGCTCATCGCCCCGCCCTGCACCATGGCCCCTGGAGACGGCAGCAGCAGGCTGGCTCCGTTCCTTCAGGTGCGTGTCCATCAGTTGCCGGTCAATGACCCTGTGCATGTCATCCTGCAGAGGGGGAAAGTGGACGGGGCTGAAGGTCAACGCATGCCTGGCCCTGGGGGTGTGCAGGGAGGAGGCCAATGTTGGGATGAGAGATGAGGATGAGGATGAGGGTGAGATGAGTGAGCAGCAGCGGCCGGGGCTGCCTACCAAGAAAGCAGTGAGTGGGCACGATGCCAGGATACACGTAGGAGCCACCTGGCAATGTCTCCTCAGGGCTTGAGCTGGCTTCTCACCAGTGTCCCCATGCCACTCCCTTGGCTGATCACTCAGATGCTCTATCACAAAAGGCCCAGAGAACCACGTAGCCCTCACAGCACACGCAGCCTCCCTGGTGACCAGCACCTGTCTTGCCTCCTGATCTGTGGTCTGGTTTGTTGGCCCCATGCTCAGAAGGCCCAGGGGAACCTGAGTGTGCCACTCTCCAGCCTAAAGCCTGGCCTCAGGGGGCTTCTGCCATCCCTCCTGCCTTCAAATTATTTGCAGCCTGGGCTGCTGATGCCCACGCACTCCTGGCAGTCCTCACCCCACCAGCCTCCCGCTGCAGCAGTGCCATGATGCTCGTGGCCTTCAGGGCTGTCTGTGCCCACTCTGGTCCAGTTCCATTAGCTTCTTTCCCAGGGTCTGACCTTATCCCTTCTTTTTGGCTGCCCAGAAACTACCCCTGCCCTGTCCCACACAGCAGCATCTTTTATTCCACAGAGGCTTCTGGACAGAGTAGTTCAGCTCTTTCCATTCTAGTTGATCTGATTCTGTGTAAGATCCCACCTGACAAAAGGGCTCTGTCATAACACAGTCCGACAACTGCTGGTAAGACACATCCGTGGTCCCCTGCAGTCATCATCGGCAGGAAATTGAACAAGCATCTTGGTTCCTCCAGCCTGGAACCCGGCAGTGGCTCTGGATGTGCTGTTGAAAAGGCCCTGAGCCCTTCAAGTCAGCCACTGGCTTCTAAGCATGGGCAGGTGAGGCCGGGGTTCCGGTGGGGCCCCTCCAGGGGAGCAGATAACCTCTGCAGCTAAGGCAGGAAGTTGGGATGTCTGAGCCTCTGCCTGACCAGCCTGTCCCTCACCTGCCTCACCCAAGCTTCCACCTGGAGGTGTTACTCAAGTAATATCTTCAGGTTTCAGGGTGAAATGAAGGGACCTTCCTGTCTTGTCACCAGGTGGTGGTAAGTACTGATCTAATGTGCTGCACCCTGACCTCCTACCCACATCCCCAGTCCTTCCTGGCACCTCTCCTGCTCGCCTCCTGCTCTTGCCTCCTAGTCCACCTTTCTACTCATCCCTCAAATCGGACGCTGGGCCAGGTATTTGCCAACACGTGGCTCCTACCTCCGAGGCCGGGTGAGAACACCGCACCCTGCATTTAGGACGTGTTCAGGAAGATTTCTTTTTGGTCCCAGCGATGGAACCCAGGGTGCATAACAACTGAACCACATCCCCGGCCCTGATGCTGGCCTTCAAGCTTGCCATCCTCCTGCTTTAGCCACCCAGGTCACTGGGATTACAGGTGTGTGCCACTGCACCTGACAAAATCTATGTTTAAATACAACAGAGGAATATTAAAGGGTCCTTCAAAAAAGGATCCATTCAAAGCTACCAATGTTTTTTTTCTGGCACATTCATTACGAACTGCACTTTTATACTCTAAGCAACCAAAATCGGCTCACTAATGCCACGAAATGGATCTTGGAACTTCACAGACACTCACGTGCTGCTCATAACTCCACACCTGCTGCCGTTTCTGGGGGCAAAACAGTCCTCTATAACGAGGTAACACTGAGAAACCAGGCCAGCCTGTCACTGTTGGCCACATGCTGAGGAGCTTGCTGAACATGATGGTGATGGGAGGAGGGAGGCTGGGGCTCGATGACACGTCACACTGCACAGAGATGATGCCAGGCTCCGGCACACAGAACACAGTGGGCCACGAGGGGAGGTGGCAGGGGCAGGACAGCAATGGCAGTGGGGAAAGGGCAGGTGGGATACAGGGCTCAATCTCACCTCAAAGGCAGGAGGGGTGTACAACTAAAGCTGTTGATACGGGAACTGAGAAAGGCCACTAGATCAGAAACCAAAGGAGCCAGATAGTAAAAAGCCCTGAGGAAGCAAACTGTAGCCAGGAGAGAAGAAAGAGAACAGTGGCGGTAAGCCGGGGCCTGGCCAGCTGACAGCTGGACAGGAACCAAGGGGCCAGTGACCAGCACTCTGTGGAGCCAGGGTTAATGCGGCTAGCCCCACAGGGCCCTGAGAAGAAGGATCACTGCTAACCTGCCCTCCAGAGGGGCTCACTCAGGTAGCTTTGCATCCATCTAGTGGGGATTGAGGAGAAACATCAGTGGCTACGCCACACCCTGATGTCATGCTACCCATGTAGCATGACATGCAAAGCCGGTCACAGCCTGGCCCCAGAGAGCTGCACTGGACCCTGAGAATGGTGGTCCCAGAGACGAACAGGGCGATTCATTCTTCCCAGTGCAGCCGATGCTCTTTGGGAAAGGGGCGCTGCGGGCCTTTGAGGAGGACCGCATCCAGCTGTGAATTTTTACCTGGTCACACGGGGCTTCCCAGCACCTCCATGTCAACAGCTGTTTCTTTCTCTAGTTTAAAGTACACCAAAAAGGCCAGCTGAAATAGGGCCTCCTTCCAAGTGTGGGGGGCACTACAGCAGCAGCCTGGGGTTTGCCACTCCCAAAAGCACCCTCAGGAATTATCCCCAGGAAATGGGAGCACAAGAACTCTGGGTTTCTTCAGGTAAAGATGGGGGTTCGCCCAGTTGTGTGGGACCCTTACATGGCAAACTGTCCTTACACTATGCTCAATTCAAAGACCCTCCTGAAGTCTTTTGCCCTGGGGCTCAGGTTTTTGTTCTTTTTTACCTGCCAAGCCTCAAGCTGCTGGGAGAGGTTCAGTTTCTGCTGAATGGCGTCCAGCAGCTGGCTGTTCAGTGACATCATGTCCATCCTGCACTTGGCAAGTTCCAGCTCCACGGCATTCTTCCTGAAAACAGACAACCAAGAGTGAGCCCACCAACACCCTGTGCCAGCCGTCCTGGGGACCTGGAGCCCACAGGGAAAGGAAGCCCCCTAGCCGTGGGTGGTCTGCAATGTGCCTTCACACATATTCTGTTATAACCAACCTGCAGGTGAAGGGATGATTTGTCAACTCCGTCTCACAGATGGAGAAACAAGGTTGAGCCCAGAGGGAAACCAAGGCCTCACACAGCACCAAGGAGCCACTCATCTGCTCCTCCTGGGGGGTGAGGCTCTTGACCTCCTGGCATGGAGAGGGTATCCCTTTAACTAAGTACTCTTCCCTTAAGGGAACTGTCCCAAAGTTAAAGGTAGCCACACAAGGACACCCATCATAGCTTGGTATCTGACAACTGGGAACTGGTAAAAAGAAAGATGGAATACAGTCGCCAATAATAGTCAATATGAAATAGGGTATTTACGGACAATCATGATGTTGCTCTGTGGAAAAAAGATCCAGAAAACAAGTTCTAGTTTTGTGAACTGAAAATCCCCAGCCGGTCGGAGGGCAGACTCATAACCCTTGCTGGTTATCTGGGTATCGATCACTGATAGTGACTCCCCAGTCTTTTACATTTTCACATATCCCATGTTTCAAGTGTTACTTTGTTTTCCTCCCTCAATATTCCTAAATTACAGCTGTTAAATGCTGGAGGAAATTAATCCTGGGGTGGGCGGGGATGGGAATAAAAGCGGAAGGGAGCCAACGGCAGCCTCTGCAGAGGAGGCACCAATATCCCAGCCATGGAAACGCACTCCATTCAGCTCTTGCCACGTCTCCCACTCCCTCAAGTACTCAAATGGCAAAGCTCAGTGTCCTTGCTGTACATGGCGCAGGGCCCAAGGACAGCGAGAGGATCCAGGATTCGCCTGCAGAGAGGGCGGGCTCCCCTGCTCCGGCCTGGAGACCCTGTCTGCACTAGTGGCAGCCGGCAGGAGGGGCAGGTGGGTCCCGTTTAAGTGCTCGGGTCACCGCTGTGACCAGCACTTCCTCTCTGGCCTTCAGTCACCCACCCGCCTTCCCTAGAGATGCTGGCTTCTGGCGACGGTGCCCGCCAGCCCCGCCCACTGCGGCTGCCGACAGCCGGGATAGGACCTGAGCCTGCCCAATGGGCGTGGGACTCGAGGCAGTTCGTCACGCCCTTGCCATTGGCTGGCGGTGAACCGTGGAAATCCTCGTGTGGAGTCGGTTGCCATGGACGCTGGCCGTGCCGCAGTCCCAGCCAGAACGTCAGCACGAATCCTGGGCTGGGCTGGGCTGGGCTGGGCTGGGCAGGGGAGGTGGAGGCCTCGAGCTTCCGCCGGCAGGTGGCACCGTGTGCAGCCGAGCCCCCAGCAATGTGCTGACTAATGCCGCTGCAGGGCCCGATGGCCGGTGGTGCGCCCCTAGCGGGGTCTTCTGGCCTCAGTAGCCCAGGTTGGTTCGCTACAGAATCGGGGCTTGTCATCCATGAGAAGCCCCAGACCGGGAGAGCACAGCGACAGAAGTCGCCCACTGATCAACATAGTAATCATTTTTTAAAGAGGAATATTTCCAGGTACGAGAAGGGTTCCTTTGTTTATGGAACCACTAGCCGGGTGGGTGGTGCTCGCCTGTGACCCCGCGGCTGGAAGGCTGAGGCAAGAGGATCACAGGTTTGAAGCCAGCCTCAGCAATTTAGCGAGACTATAAGCAAACTAGTGAGACCCTGTCTCAAAATAAAAAATAAAAAGGGCCGGAGGTGTGGCTCAGTGGTTACGTGCCCCTGGGTTCAATCCCTGGTACCAAACTATAAAACCCACTAGTACCTCTTTTGTTTTTGTAAGGCAGATTCCTAGCCCAAGAATTACTTCTGTTTTTAGGGAGGGCCTTTCACCTCAAATTATTTAACTTTCTTGAAATTTATCTATTGTATAGGATAAGATACACTTTAAGGTTCCTACAGCCCAGTGAAGAAAGAGACCTTATTTTTCTTAGGGATTTTCACCCCAAAGTACACATTAAACTCACTGGGTAAAGTAACCCACTACAGGAATTCAGACTTAACTGTTAGGGAGGGCTGCCCTGGTACCTGCAGGAGATTATTCTGATATGCAGCCAGTGTGGAGAATCCAAGGTAATGTATATGAAAGCATTCTGTAAACCAAGGTCCTAATCAATATGGGTGTGATTTCCACTTTAACCGATTCCTTCTGCCTGTTGTCTCAATTCTCCTAATACCAAAATTTTCATTTCCAAGGAAGAGAAAATGAACTAACCTCCCCGACTCCCCACACAGTGGTCTATCACTCTCCCTACCCAGCTAAGCCCTGCCTACAGGGATCCAGGAAAACTGAGTCCTCACTCCAGAGTTCTCCCTTGTGTGGGGCAGGGGGATATGTATCACAAGATTGGGTAGCTGCCCCTCTGGGCAGAGCTAGCTTCCACTTTCTTTTTCTTTCTGAGGACTAGACAACTTTCTTCTTTTCTCCTGCACCTCACACTTTCTCTGGTTTTCTCTTCCACCTTCACGTTGTGGTAGAACATGGTCAGATCTTCACACTCAGCCTCTTCTCTGTTCTGCTGAGAGGATGACCAATTTGTCTGGACTATTAACCTCATTCTGCTTTTCATTCCCAATGGGCTTTCTCAATTAGCATCTTAACTTCACTGTTTTATTCCTCATTGTTTTGGACAGTTTTGTCCTCTGCTATTCGTAAAGGTATGTCCCCCTTCCTATCACGCTGCCATTCAAGCATCCATTAACTACGCATCCCAGGAATCCAAGGAACACACATTCGTAGACAGGTTTGTGAGCCTCACGGAGTAGAATTTCTAAAATGAACCAAAATTGATAGATACCTGTTATGAGGTTGTGACCAGATAGACAAGGGAACCCAAAGGTAAATTAAGAAATGGAGAAGATGAAAACATAAAGACACAGAGGAGAAAGAAAAAAGCACAGGAAGAAATGAGAAAGGGGAAGGTTGCTACAGTGTGAGGGATTTTAAAGTCACACACTGAAGTGTGTGCCATTTTTGTTTTTTAAGAAGGCATATAGCAAAAGCCAGGTGCAGTGGTGCGGGCCTGTAATCCCAGTGGCTCGGGAGCCTGAGACAGGAGGATCTTGAGTTCAAATTGAGCCTCATCATCTTAGCAAAGCCCAAGTAACTCAGTGAGACCCTGTCTCTAAATAAAATACAAAATAGGGCTGGGGGTGATGCTCAATGGTTAAGCACTCCTGGATTCACTCCCCAGTACCAAAAAAAAAAAAAAAAAAAAAAAAAAAAGCATAGAGCATCTAATTTAGAAGTTGTTTCAAAGGAGCTCAGTGCAGTTTCCTGATGAGCAGCAATGCAGAGGGGAGAGAACTCTGATGACCAGACCCGGAGGCCTAAAGACAGAGGCTGGTGAGTCTACTGGTTGTGACCCTGAGGAAAGCACCTCTCAGTTTTCCTGTCTGTAAAACAGGTATTACAAAGGTTTTCCTTCTTCCTGAGGCTGGGAGGGTGAAAGGGTACCCTGCTGTATGAACAAGAACAAGACGTACAGATACGGCTATTAACAAGCTGTAAGTAAGAAAACACGTTGTTAGCAACTTTTAAAATTTGTTTTTTGTTGCAGATGGACACGATACCTTTATTTTATTGATTTATTTTTATGTGGCCTCACATGTGCTAGGCGAGCACTCTACCGCTGGGCCACAACCTCAGCCCGCATTTTGGTTAACTTTTATAGCCTCGCATGAGCTTGGTGAAGAGGGAAGATGGATTCCATGATAAATAATTCACAGGAGACGGGGAAGATGGGGAGATGGCTTGTGCCTATGTATTTCCAAGTTTTTGGATATAAGAGAATGCATTTATGCATTTCTTATCTGTAAAAGAAAACCCAAAACACTGTTTAAAAAAATGACTGATTTATCAGAAATAGAGAAGACAGAAGAAACTGGTAAATGACACTATGGGATGCAATCAAACCCAGAACGTAGAAAAACTAGAAAGACAATTTATCCCATTTTTCAATAAATGTAATATGAAAAAGAAAAAAAATAGGAAGGGAGAGGTTTTACATATTTTTGGGACCTACCAATTAAATAGAATATGTGGACTCTGGATTCAGATTCTAATAAATTTTAAAAGGACATTAAAGGGATAACTGGGTTACAAATACTGACTGGATACTAGATTACTAGATGTTAAAAAAACTTTTTTGTGGGCTGGGGATGTGGCTCAAGCGGTAGTGCGCTCGCCTGGCACGCGTGTGGCCCGGGTTTGATCCTCAGTACCACATACAAACAAAGATGTTGTGTCTGCCGAAAACTGAAAAATAAATATTAAAATTCTCATTCTGTCTCCTCTCTCTCTTTAAAAAAAAAAAAAGTTTTTTGTTTTTATTTTTGTATTAGGGATTGCACCCAGGGGGCCCAACCACTGAGCCACATCCCCAGCCCTTTTTATATTTTATTTAGAGACAGGGTCTCATTAAGTTACTTGGGGCCTTACTAAATTGCTGAGGCTGGCTTTGAACTTGAATACCCCTGCGTCTCTGGTGTTACAGGCATGTGCCACCATATCTGGTGAAATTGTTCTTTTCAATTTCACTGTATTGTTATATGTTTTAAGGAAGAAACTTTCTGGTAGAGACACACACTGAAGTGTTTGTGGATGAGGAGACTCTTGTGATTTGTTTAACACAATCCCATGGAGAGGTACAAACTGATTACTGTTGAAGCTCAGAGATGGAAAGACAGGGGTTCCTGTTATGTTTCTTGTGTATGCTTGAAAATGTCCATATTAAAAAAGTAAAAAAATGGAATAGATTCATGTAATGAAACTGGAAAGCTAACACATAAGTGGGGGAAAAAAAGGCAACACATGTAGAATGTCATCCTGCTGCTGCTGTTTTTAAAAATACGCAACCATTAACATACATGCCTACACATGCACAGGACACCCAACTTACTTTCTTTCTCTCTTTCTTTCTTCTTGATATCAGAGATTGAACTCATGGACACTTAACTACAAAGCAATACCCCCAGTCCTTTTTATGTTTTATTTTGAGACAGAGTCTCACTAAGTTGCTTAGGGCCTCACTGAGGCTGACTTTGAACTTCTGATCCTTCTGCCTCAGCCTCCAGAGTGGCTTGGATTATACACGTGTGCAGCCTCACCCAGGACCCAACTATTGAACAGTAGAGTTTACCTGGGGAAAAGAGCAGGGTTGTGGGGGAGGGTGGGTATCATGGAGACTCTCATCTTTGTATTCTTCTGTATGATTGAATTTTAAAAAGTCAGCATGTAATCAATTGTATATGCTCAATTTTATTGTAGAAATAAAATGAAAAGAGACATCCCTACTTACTTTGCAATGGCCTCATCCCGGTCCCTGATGGCTTTCTGAAGCTGCTCCTTTGGCTCCTTGTCCTCAGATGTCACTCTGAGTCGGTCCCTCTCCTCTTTCAGTGCAGTCATCTCCACACTCAGCAGTGTCACCTAACAGGAGACCAAAGAAAGATGAGTGTGATAATACCACTGCTGCTGGCTGGGGTGACTTCCCTTCCAAGAGGGAAAAAGGACCCAGAACCTCCAGGCAGGCCTGGGTGTGTGGCGAGCAGACGGGTGTCCTCCTGTTGCCGCCTTGCTCCAAGGCAGGGCCCTTCTTTCCTGAGAAAGGAGCCACATGCTGGCATGTGACCTAGACTGGTCAGTCACTCCCTGCTCCTGGGAGGTGAACAAGGCTGCAGGAGTGGGGATTATTCCCAAGGCAGCAGAATGGTTCCGCTGTCCCCTCCCCACAGCGCCCTCCTGTTTGGCAGCTGAGCTCTCCCACTTTTCTTCCCATGGGTTCTGTGAGCTATCGGAGTTAATTCTAATGCATTCAGAAGAAATTCCTGTTGTCAGCAACCAGAAACCCTGCCTGGTAGAGCTTCAGTAAGTGTGGATTAGGCAATGAAGGGCGGGAGCCCCTTCTTCTAGGCTGATAGGATCAGCAATGAATTGGGATGCCTGACCCCACCTTCTTGTTAAATATTACACATACTTTGACATTTTTCCAAAGGAGAATCAGTTTATTCAGATCTGCCTCTCTTCCATATGGGGACAGATGTCACCTTTCAGCACACTCTTCAGCTTTTCAGATCTTGGGTCTAATCATCTTCAGTTAAAATGAAACTCAGCAAAATCCCCAGGACTAAGGCTGAAGACTGAGCTCCGCAGACTGAAAAGGCAAGGCTGCCAGCCCTAGGAGTACAGGCAAGGGCAGCTATTCTGGGAGAACTCAGAGGACCCTGAACAATGAGCTGGGGTAAGAGGACAACTTGTTGCCTTGATGGGCGATGGACCGTGAACTCTGGGGAGTCTGGTAGGTAACGCCACCTTCGGGTGGGTGGGGTGGGGAAGACAGTTTAAGTGAGCAGGGCTCCAAGCCTAGGGGAAGTACAGGGGCAACTGCAGAGGCCGGCTCGCACTGCACTTGCCCTGGGGCAGACAAGGTGCCCAGAGACGCCCAGCCTCCTGCTAGTCAGCAGCAGGTTCTGCAGCCAGATGGATGGAACTCAAGACCCAGAAAGCACCTGGCAGAGACAGCAGGACCTCCTGAGACAGGGCCTCAGGCCAGGTGGTGGTTCAGCCAGCTGTTTAAGGAATGGCGAAAGCCACATGCTGGGCAGGAAAGGCCAGCATTTAACTGCTCCACAGAAAACTCCAGAAGAACTTTTCAGAAACCCTAGATAAGCCAGAGCCCACCTACCTGCCTTAGGAGAAGGGGCAAGGGATTTTCATGTTTGAGCCATGTATACTTTGCACAAAAATTAGGAAAACAAAACACCCAAAACTATTTCTATCACCAAGTTGTTAAGAGGATCAAATGAGCTTTAGCTCACTGAGGGCCAGGGTGGGGTGGTGGGCTCCACTCTCTTCTCCTCCCAGCCAAGGTGACATCAACAGTCATCGTGAGAACAGATCTGGCTTGACTACACATGGTCTTGGGTAACATCCATCCCCTAACCCACTTTTTCCAAATGAGGTGGGTATCTGCACAATTAAATAGTATCAAAGACAATGCCCTGAGGCCATGTACCAAGGGCTGGATCTGCTCTTCCATTTAACAATTATTTGAGCGTCACCATAGGCAGCCTTGGAATAGGAAGCTGAACTGGCCAGGGCCTCTCTTGAGGAAGGGACTCAGGAGGGTTTCAAGGAAGAAGTGAAGCCTGCCCTGGAACTTGTAGGGTAAGTGGGTGGAGATAAGAAGAGGTGAGAGGAAGGTAGGCAGTGAGCTGGAGAGAGGGCCTCCATGTGGGGAACCTGAGGAGTGTGCAGCTCTGCCCTTTTAGAGCTCCTGTTCAACTGTGTTAACACAAGAGCGCGGGGGGGGGGGGGGTAGAGACAAGAGAGCAGGAGACTGTGGCTAGAGCGTAGCCCCTCTGTTGGCCACGGGGCCCAGGACTCCCTGACCTGAGAATAGGAGCCAGCCACCTACAGGCAAGGGGCATCCTGTTTCCATGTCACTCTTCAGGAAGGTCATCACGTGCAGGAGGGCAGACAGACTGCAGCAAACGAATGCAGGTCTGAAACAGGGAAGGGGCCAGGACAGTGGAGTGGGAAGAGCGGAGAGCCTGAAGAGGAGGGGTCACCACCTCATTCTGGAGCTCCAGGACACGCTCTCCTGGGCTCAGCCTCCTTCTGGAGTCGCTGGCAGGCGTGAAGGACCCCAGTGAGGCTGCACTGAGCCTCCTACCCCTGGACTGAGCTGGAGGCTCCTGGAGGACTGGTTTTCACATTCTGCAGACTAATCTTAAAGACCCTCCTGCCTCCTGGCAGCTGCTCCACAGTCTCTCAAGTGAGGTGGGCTGGGGCGGGGAGCACGGAGGGGGGGTGCTTCGCCACTGATATCATAGGAGGAGTTGGGCAATCTTCAGGTCTGCCCAGGGATTCTGCCTCAGATGGATAACACTCAAACTTGAGTTTTGTTTTATTAAAAAATTTGGGTAAGTTTCTGAGGGGGTGGGGTACCACTGGCCACTCACCTACACCCACATCTGACTTGTAGTTCCCAGGAGGGAAGAGCACTCTCACACAGGAGAGCAGCAGGCTTGGAGGATAGTTGAGTCATCATATGAAGTCTGACCCTGGTCTAGGAGTTGTTGGCTAGAACCTTCGTCCCAGCCAACCCTGTCTGGGTGGGTCTGAAATACGGCAGGGGCCAGGAGAGTGGAATGGGAAAATGCTGAGAACCCCCAAAGGGTCCAGAGATGGCTCCGACTGCCCTTGTAACACTGAATAGTCTTGGACTGCAAGGGTCCTACACAGCCACTTTGTGCCCCTCAGAGTCGAGGCACACCAGTGGGCATGGCAGATGCCAAACTAACCCTGATGAGGAATGTCCTGCCCGCTGTGTTGGTCACAGTTTCTAGGTCATTCTGGAACTCAATCTACACCTCAACTGCTGCTATTCTGGGATGTCAGCATGACTCCCATGGGACAGTTCTGGTGGATGTAGCATGGCAGAAAGGCTTTCTGCTTTGAGCATCTGGAAGAGAAGCCCAATCTATACCCACATGAGACGTGAGTCCAGACAGCTGCTGGGTGAGCTATGTTAAGAGGGTCCACGGGAATTGCCTAAACTGGTCATTAGCTGAACTCGTAAGCAGCCTCCTCAGTGGAGATGGCTTCCTAAATAGTTTTGCATCTGACTCTTGGTAATCTGCTCTTTGCTTGTATTTCTGAGTGAAATAATGTCCTCTGGTAAATTTCTAGTTTTTATAATCCTGATAAACAAAACCCCCCAAACCAGTTAATACCAAAGAGCTGATAAGCAAAAGCTTTTTAAAATAAATAAGCTGGGTGCAGTGTATGTGCCTATAGTCTCCACTACTCAGCAGACTGAGGCAGGAGCGTCTTGAGCCCAGGTGTGCAAGGTCAGCCTGGGTGATACAGATAGATTCTATGTCAAAATTTTTTAAAATTAGCGCTGGGGACACAGCTCAGTTGATAGGGTGCTTGTCTTACATGCATAAGGCCCTGGGTTTAATCCCCAGTACCACACACACACAAAAAAATTAAAAACTTTTAAAAAAACATAATAAGATAGAATAAAATATCATTTTATTTAACACAAAGAACTCTCAGATCCTACTTTGTCTTGCATTTTATTGTTCCAGATTGGAAGATTTGTCCCTACATGTGAACTGCTCTCCCTTGCTCTGTAAGACTACCTGAGGATCTCGAGAGTTTAGGGAAGAAAATGTCTTTGGCTGTCCAGCTCACTCCCCAGGGTCTGGCCAGGAATAAACCTCAGCTTTAAATAGCATCTTCCTGTCTTTGTTCAGTTGGTAGAGTGCTTGCTTTGCAAACACAAGGCCCTGGGTTCAATCCCCAACACTACACACACACACACAAAAATAAAATTGTATTGTAGTGATGGCAATGGGGGGGGGTCTCCCACAATCTTTTAAGAGGATCACACTGGTAAGATTACTTAGATGACCCAAAAAGACAGTTTACTTCTATTCAGAAATTTTGAGTGTAAGAAAACTAAAGGGAGAGCTGGCCCCAATTCTATCCCACAGAAACTTCACGGAGAAGGAAGGGAGGAGGACCCTTTGGACCAGGAAAGAACAGGCTGAGTCAGGCAGGGTGTAAACCACTGTTTGCTGTGACCCCCAGAAGCCAACCCAAAGAGGACAGAACTGGCACCCAAGCATGGTCAAACCAAGAGTCTCTATTTGTTTCATAGGACAGGCTTTAGAAGCTCTTCCTGGTTAGGATTGCTCCTAAGTCCTTTAAAACTTTTCAGATCAGACTATAAATGTCTTTCTCCATATTCACTCCATATTCACAGAGATTGGAGTCACAATCAAACAGGAAAGGAACAGCACAGGCAGCAGAAAATTCCCTCAAGCTGAAGACCAGGTTTGCGGTGGTGACGGCACTCACACAGAGGGCCCAGAGCCCCTTTCCTTACCAAGGGGCTACGGGGAACACGGCAAGGGGCCTGGAAGCAGGGCTTTCAGCTGCCAGCTGCACCCATCAGCCTGGCTCTGCAGACATGTCACTGCAGGAGTGGAGAACCGGCTGTCCTCAGTCCTACCAAGGGGACTGAGGGCTGAATGGGAGGACTGGTTTCCTCTGAGGACGCCCCGTTCACCTTAACTTCAGTCACAGTCTCCTGAGGATATGATGGAGGAGAGTCGATTCTCACACAGAAGTGGGGGAGCTGGGGGACCAGTGCATATTCCCCACACAGGCTGAGGGTGGGGTGCTCACCTGACTGTGGAGTTGCTGCAGCTCTTCTAGGCTCTGCCTCAGTTTACCCCTCTCCCCCTCCATGAGCTCCCTCAGGGCTCTCGAGTCCTCGCTGGTCTGCCTTATCTGTTCTTCTAAAGAGTCCTCATCAATTCTCCGGGAGCTCTGACAGCAGAAGCCAGCCAGAGATGGAAAAGGAGGGATGGACAACGGGGAGAGATGGAAAGGAGATGGAGGAGAGAGGAGATGGTGAGGGGAGGGAGAGAGGTAGTTAGGGAGAGAGACTCTCGAGTTCATTTCAAGACACAGTGAGACATCCATTTTCATTTCAGGCTTCAGGGAGAGGAAGCTGCGTATGTGAATGGTGCACTTGCTGACAGCTCCCACCTCCCACAGTGACCTGCACACTCACAGGGACACAGCCTGGCCGACACCCCCAGGCTCATCTGCCACCTTCCTCTTACTCCACCCAGTAGAGGCAGAAAGACGGCTATTCTGCAGGGGGTGAAGCCTGAGAAGAAAGTTCTAGAGCTGGGCTGGGAATGCAGTCAGGGGGATTTCAGGAAGCTGAGGCAAGGCCAGTCTGCACAGAATGCACGTGACATCCCCACAGGGAGCCACATCTGAAATTCTAAGAGGGCCCTGGCATTGATCTGTCAGCTTTTTGTGCTTGCTTACACTTTTTTGTTTTTCTGGTACTGGGGACTTAACCCAGCAGTGCTTTACCACTGAGCCATATCCCCAGTGCTTTTTTAAAAAAAATTTGAGACAGAGTCTCACTAAATTGCTGAGGCTTGCCTTGAATTTGCAAGCCTCCCGTTCCAGCCTCCTAAATTGCTGGGATAACAGGTATGGTCATTGTGCCCAGCTTTTGTTTACATTCTTCTGGCAGAAGCATTAGGTCTTCTAAGCTTGCCTATCCTTAGCTCATCCCACCACCAGGACCAAAAGGCTAAGAAGAGCAACCTGATGTTTTTACCTGAATATTTCTTTCTTTCTTTTTGGTACTGAGGAATGAATCCAGGGGGTGCTCAACCACTGAGCACATCCCCAGCCCTATTTTTGTATTTTATTTAGTGACAGGGTCTCAGTGAGTTATTTAGGGCCTCGATAAGTTGCCAAGGCTGGCTTTGAACTCTTGATCCTCCTGCCTCAGCCTCCCAAACTGCTGGGATTATAGGCGTGTGCCACCGTGCCTGGCTTGATACTTATTTGTCTACTCAGTTTACAAGGGAAATCCTCACACTTGAGTTAACTCTTTACCCTGGTGCCTGCAGGAAAACTAGGAGCCTCCATTCCCTTGCACTTGGCCCCCTCTGCCTGATCATAGGTACTCAGTGTTCTCAGACATAAATAAGGGGAAGGAATTCTGACATAGACTAGATAGACTCTGGTCCTGTGGTTGACATCACCTGCTGCATTAGGCCCACCCCTGCTCTCTCCTCTTACCGTGGGCTCCATGCCATCCACGATGCTCTGTATCAGCCTCTTGAGCTCATTGAGGGCAGTGCGCAAGCTGCCAGCTGGCACATCCTTGGCAGACGAGGTTTCTGAAGACTCGTCCATGGAGGAGTCCGTGGACACAGCCGAGTCAGCGCTGTCATTTCCTCGAAGGTGTGAGCACAGATAGCGAACCTGGCAGTAGGCCTCCCAGAGCTGCAGTCTTAGCTGTGTCACAAAGAAATATTCTTGACTATGGACTCCAGAGAATCCTCGCCATCTTTGTCTACTATCTGAACCCAAAGGACAGCAGTTCTAGGAGAAAAGATTTTGGTTTTGTTTTCTAAAATCATCTGTACCAAGAAAAACTCATTTTAGGCCCACTATACCTACCCAGCCTGCCAACTCTCACCTGTACTGCTCTCTTTTTTGCCACTTCTTTATTTTATAATCAGTCCTTAGTTGGAGTCAGGAAGTGACAGGGGAATGAGAGATTGTAGGAGGATGAAACACATGAAAAGCAGCCAACTGGATGGAGTAAAGTTGAACCTTAGTCAGCAGCATTTCCTCAGAGTACGTGGCGAGACCTAACAGGTGTGTCTCTGCCTCTGACACTGTCCTCTGGAAACTCTGCTCAAGGCCTCGATGGACAGGTATGTGGGAACTAGAGGCCTGGGGACAGAATTCAGTTAGGGCCCACCTCATACTGCCCCAGGCTGCAGGCCTAGGGGCCCTCACCAAGCGACAGCAGAGTGTTGGGAGGACGATGGACCCGAGAACTTGGGACCACCTCGCATGCTGGCAACAGGGAAGTCAGCACCTGCTCTCTCTCCTGCTCCAGCTCCTCGGCCTCCATGCTCTGCTCAATCTCCGACAGGAGGGACGCGCTGGTGGCCGCAGAGCTCTGTAGACTCCTCTCCTCAGTGAGCTCCTCCACCTTCACCTGCAGCTGTCGGTAGGAGAGCCGCACCTCCTGCAGCTCCAGCTGGCTTTGGTGCAGCTTTCAAGGAGAGAGAGCAGAAGCTAGAGAGGCTCATCCCAACCAAACCAGCAAGAAGTGTCTGAGCCTGCACACTTCTAGAACCAACCCACAGAAAAACACAGAGGTATGAGGAGTGGAGCAGACTGCACCGGGAGGCCACCAGCCAAACCCAGAGCTGGGAAACTCCCCAAGACAAAGAGCTCCATTTCCTCAATGAAGAAAAAGGAGGAAACTAGAAATTTCAGGCGGCAAATCAACCAAATGCAATGTATAAGCCTGTTTTAGTTTGTATCTTGGTTCAAACAAAAAATATAAAAAATTATCACATTTATAGGACAATTGGAAATTTGAACATTCATTGGATTTTTTATGATAAGGACATACTGTTAATATTTAAAGATATATAGTATTGGGGTTTTATGTGTGTGTGTACATATATATTTTTTTGGTATTTATTTTATAGTTAGATATTTCACTCATTTATTTTTTTTACGTGGTGCTGAGGATCAAACCACATATATTTTTTCAGTGAAAAAAGTATCTTCAAAGTACAAAAATTATAATTTATAGTTTAAAGATCTTCATTGGCTTTATTCTTGATTCTAGGATCAGATAACACTTCACTCTGCAAAACAGAATAAGTGTTCCATTGAAGTTTTTATTTACAACTACACTTATTGAAATCCTGGGACTAATTTCCAAGCAATAAAAAAGGAGTGACATCATGAAGCGGGAGCAGCCCAGTTGGGGCTGCTGGCTGTCAGAGCCGGCGGTAGAACACACGAGCTTCAACACACTGCTCCTAGGCTGGGTCTGCGGAACCCTCCATAATGAAAGATTCAAACACACCTCCCAAGTAAGATGCCATTTTGGGGCTGGGGTTGTGGCTCAGTGGCAGAGCACTTGTTTAGCACGGGTGAGGCACTGGGTTCAATCCTTAGTACCACATTAAAATAAAAAAATACCAAATGTTGATGAAGGTGTGGAATAATAAGAACTGTCACTGCTGGTGGGAGTGGAAAACGTATACACACTTTGGAAAAGTGCTTGGTGGTCTTTATGATCCAGCAACTCCACTCTTGGTTGCACACCCCCAAATATAAAATGAGGAGAAGAGACAGACACAGGATATCACAACAGTCATGACTTGGAGAATATCCAAATGCTAGTAAAAACAGAATGGATAAATTATGGTATGTTCATATGTTGGAAAACCATATACAATAAAAAGGAACAGGCTGCTACCACAGACCACAACATGGCTAAATTTTGTAGAAATGCTTGTGCAAAAGCCAGACATAAAAAGTACATAATGTAAAATTCTGTCATTAAAAAGCTTCCATTAGGGGGCTGGAGTGGTGGATCAATGGTAGAGTGCCTGCCTAGCATGTGTGAGGCACTGGGTTCGTTTCTCAATACCACACATAAATAAATAAAATAAAGGTCCATTGACAACTAAAAGATATTTTAAAAAAAGTTTCTATTAAAAACTTCACTGAGATAGACTGAACTTGAGCAAGAGGCTGGCTTTTGAGGAAGGGGCAGGGTATTGCTTGTGGGGAGCTGATAATATAAAAATTCAGGGGAAAAAAATTCTATCTTTTTTTTGTGGGGTGGTACCAGGGATTGAACTCAGGGGCACTCAATCACTGAGCCACATCCCAGCCCTATTTTGTGTTTTATTTAGAGACAGGTTCTTGCTAAGGCTGGCTCTGAACTTGCAATCTTCCTATCTCAGCCTCCAGAGCTGCTGGGATTATAGTCATGTGCCACCACGCTAGCAATATTTTCTATCTTGACCCAGATGTGGGGAGGGGGTTATCAAACGTACATGTTTGTAAAAATTCACTTGACTATCTACTTAAGGATTTGTATACCTTACTATATGAATGATATGTTTTCATGAAAAAATTAAGGAGAATAAAGGTAGCTTGGACAGGAGCAGGGTGGGATTTGGAATAACATGTAGGTAGTGATGCCAAAAGCTTCACCCCATGGGAAAAAACAGTGTCTTCCTGTTTTCAGTGTCACACCTAACCATTTAAAAGAGGCCCTAGGGCAGAGGGCCAATCTGCCTCATTCCCCTATGAGGGATTGAGCCACAGGTGAGGAGAGGCTTTCCCAATACCACTGTGAGGTACAGCTGGACTCAAGACTCCCAGTCAGGGCTCTCACTTTCCACACACTTTCCTTGCTTGCCTCCAACAGATGAGCAGTTCCTTAAGTCTGTCTTAAGGATCTCTGAAGACAAAGTCCCATAGTTTCAGTTCTAACCAACACTTATGGGCAGAAATGTCTGTCACCTTAGCCTGTCTAACATTAGTCCTGCATCCTATACAGTAAGCTGTTTGCTCTTTCCTGGTCCTTTTCTTTCTTTTTGTTGCACTGGGGATTGAACTCAGGGCCTTGTGCATGCTAGGCAAGTGCTCTGCCACTGAGCTACATCTTTAATCGTCTTTATTTTTTCGAGACAGGGTCTTGAAGGCCCAAGGTTGGCCTTGAACTTATGATACTCCTGCCTCCGTCTCCCAAGTAGCTGGATTTATAGGTGTGCCCCCTTGTGCCTGGATTTTCTTGTCCTTTCTGAAGACTGTAGAGGGTTAATAATTATGTAGAGATGTTACTTTTCAAGAGCTTTTCAAATAGCTTCCATTTTGCAAGCCAAATATTAGATATGTAGCCTCTGACATTTCCCATAGATTGTTTTTTGATTTATAAAACAGTTCAGAGATTTTCCCGTAAGCCTACATTTTTTAGAGCTGACAAGGCCCCAGATATCAATGAACCCAAGCATCTCGCGTTCCTGACAATGAAACTGAGGCTCAGAGAAAGGAAGGGTCACCAGATGAAGGGAGGGACAGCCATGCGGGGTCCACAGCTTCTGGCAAGGCTCCTCCTTGCTCTCACCACCACTCCTCTGGCCCCTCCGCATTCTTCATGGAGTCCACCCAGGGTACCATGCTCTGGTGAAAGGTCACCCCTCCTGCACAGGAGGGACCACCCAGTCATCACTGCTAAGTGCTGCCCTCTTCCCTGTGCACTCCTCACACAGCAGACCCTAGCTGCAGAGTCCTCGGCAGTGTGCTAGTGGCCAGGCACAGGGACAGTGTTTTGTACTTGTCACATTCACAGATTCATGGACTGCACTTCCCCATACCTTAAAAGATGTTTTTCTGGGGACTGGGAGAAGAACTTCCTGGGGCCATCTTTGTTCCATTAAAAGGAGAAGGGGACTGGGAGTGGTCTGCACACCTGTAATCCCAGTGACTTGGAAGGCTGAGACCAGAGGGTCCCAAGCTCAAGGCCAGCCTCAGCAACTCAGAAAGGCCCTAGGCAACTTAGGGAGACCTTGTCTCTAAATAAAAAAGGCCTTAGGGATGTGGCTCCACTGGGCTTTCCAGACTCCTGGCCAAGTCATCTTGTGGCTCCTGAGAGAGGCAGACTGGGTGGGGGGGGGGGGGGGCACCAGCAGCAACTCAGAGCTCTGGCTCTTAAGGAGGGAGCAAACTCCCAGGCCTGTAGCTAGTACTTTAGATGCCCTGGGAGCCTCACCTTCACCCATTAGTGACAGGAAATGGTTGGTCAATGGAACCAGTGGCCTAAATGAGCCCCAACTAGAAGGGTTTGGAGCCTGGCTGCTCAGAGGAGGAAAAAGGAACTGGCAGGCCTGCTCTACCTGGTTCCCATGGACTAGCAATACCTGCTCACCATGGGGACTCCTCCAGCTCTGGTTCTGAGGAAATTCAGCAAGAAAACAATCAGGATTACTGGTGTGTGTGTGTGTGTGTGTGTGTGTGTGTGTAGGCATTCCTAGGAAGCATTTGGCACAGTTACAAACAGCATACTAAGCTGGCAAAATGCTTTACAATTATTTTCTAGACAACTCCATGTACATCTCAGCAGGAGAAGTTCTGCACAGACAAATGCGGTTCTTATGCACTGGACAAAATTAGTTCAATTACTCATGAACCCTCAGAGGTGCTTAATTAGTTATAACAGCAAAAGAACAAAAGATCAAGAAAGGTCTGGTTCTCTGGTCAGAGATTCATTCAACCAGCTGGGCAGATATGTGTAGAAAAGCCAAACCACACCAGGGAAGAGTCCATTAACTGTGAGAACTCTCTAAAATAATAAGTATCATCTTCTGTGCAATGAAGATGACACCAAGTATATTTCTAGGTATAAACAGGGATGACATTAAATGCTTTGTGTTTATACAAAGTTATGCTCACAATTCTCAAGTGAGCAGAAGTGGGGGCACTTTCCTCTCTGACTTCAGTGTGAGGTAACATGATGTACCTTAGGGCACATGGCCCCTGGTCACCTGCCTCCTAGGTCACCTGCAGTGATTGAGGGTGGATGCTCTGCTAGTGAAACCCACCATGCTGGGGTTAGGCCCCATGCACATCTACGAAACAGGGCAGCTAAGTTGTCCTTAGAGGAACAATTCAGATTTTCTTTACTGGGTATTAAGAGCTTAGCAAAATGCTTGATATAAACTCGGTACTCAGTTGTATCAGGTCAGTAGCTTAAAAATCTGTTTTTGACAGCAGGACCCCTAATCCCATAGTGAAAGAGATCAAAAGGCGACTCCCCTGGTAGAGGCAGGCCCATTACCTTGCCTGCTCAGTGTTCTGCTCCCCCTTGACTGAGGGTTTAAGATCATGGGATTAAACGCATTCCAAGGCCACTGGCTCAAATCTGGCTTAGGACAACTTCATGTTACCCAAGTAAAATGGAATTTCTACTCCTTTGTCAGGGCAGGTCATTTCAGGAACAGACGGGACTCTGTGGAGGGTACTTGTAACTACTGCTGCAGCTTAGGAAGAGTTTTTCATAAACAGGAAAGATAAGAATTTAGCTGGAAATGTGGATCTTCCAAAGTGGGAACTGCCTGACTTGTCCTAGCTCTCACTCTACAGTCTAGTCAGAAGAGAGTGGACAGGCAGATGGTGAGGATGTGCCTGTGGTCTGACCTGTTATTCTTGCTGCTACAGGACACACAGCCCATTGTACCAGTAGTACCTGGGGGTCCATACTCGTCCTGGCCCTTTCACCCCATCTCCAGGTTCCCAGATACGGATTTGAAATAAGGACTTCTCTCTTATGAATTCATGCTAGACTAAAAGTCTCTCTAGGAAGGCACCATTTTTCTCTTTTTCTGTGCTTTTTTCCCTTTTCCTCTCCATGTTCCATCTCAATAGCCCTCAGCAGTGCTTAATGGGATAACAAATGATGGTCAAATGATATCTTTAGGGGCAGGTAAGCAAGAGGTCAACCAGGTAGAAGCATTCTAGTCTCGATTCTACCAAGGATTTAGTATATAACTCTGGATGATTTGTTTTCTCTAAGCTTCAGCTTTACGACGCGCGTGAAGGCCTCTGTCCCTGCAGACAGGCAGTGTTCACTGCTACTATCACCATCAACCTTGAAAAATGAGACACTTCTTTCCATTTAGAAAACTGCCCTGAGGCTTTGGTTAGCACCATTTTTTAATTATTATTATTTTTTTTTTAAGGGCTGAGAATGGAATCCAGGGCCTTGTGCTGCAGCCTCAGTTTCTACTCAATGTCTACTGGGTCCTACTACATGAAAAGTTACCAGCCAAAGATATAAAAACCCAGAGGATAAAAACTGCTGATTAACTGTCTCTCAAAGAGGCTCAGCATTCAGGTGGCAGCTGATAGATGATATTAGTGTAAGACATAGGCTTCCAAACAGCCTAACCGTGAGCCCAGTGGGAACTCCATGGCCTGGGCTTAGGGCAGGGATCCCTGAGGTGCTCAAGCATCACCTGGCCAGCTACCTCTGTGCAAACACTGCTGCAATCCAGTGTGCTTCCTGCCAGGCTCAAGGAGCCCCAAGGGCAGTGAGCACCCTCGTCTCCAGTCCCAGGCCAGCCCAGCAAAGCACCTTGGTAGCATATGTACACCCTGCCTCTGGAGAGGCTAGGAATAAATGCACTTTTGTTTTGGGGGTTGTTTCTTGTCAAAGTTTTATTTTGTTTTGTTTGGGGTTGTTTCTTGACAAGCTTGGGGATTCATCTGAGACCTGGTAGTAGTTCCCAAATAAGGACAAATATGGCTATGGAACCATTTTCTTTAGGAAGGTTAAAAAAAAAGACTCATTAGACTCACAAAAGGGTCAGGCTGTGCCTTTCCTGCAACTGGCAGAAACAGAATTATGTCTTGCTGTGTTTGGTGGGCAGCTTCTTGGTTTCTGTTCTGTGCCAGCCAACTAAATCCCCCACTAGAAAGGCAGCTGCAGACAGCCCCGTGGGCTGAGGACAGACAGCCCAGTGGGCTGAGGACAGACAGCCACGGGCTTCCTCTGAAATCTAGCAGTTTTCACAGACGCAGAGAGGCCAGAATGACACTCCCAGTGTTCCAGCCATGTTAATAGCCCAGAAAGAACTGCATGAAACTGTCCAGGGGCCAGTGGCTCAGAACACATGGGAAAGATGACCTACGGTGCATTTCTCTGGCCATGGGCTAGTTAGTGAGTGTCCCGGGGAATTACAACAGGTCCTCAGTGAAACCTGTGTCACTTGCTCCCACCAACCCCTTTTTTTCTGACTAACTGCTCCTACTATCTGGCCCTGGTCCCCCAAAGACAACCTCTCTGCCCAGTACCTGCAGGTCTTTGTCATGGCCCTGCCTCTCCAGGATCAGCACCCGGTCCTGTAGCTCCTCCACAGTCCCTTGTAGCAGGTCATTTTCCTCTAAGGTGGCACTGAGACGATGCTCCAGCTCTCGTTTCCGATCTGACAGCATCTTGATCTGAAAAGGTGAAAAGCCAGAGGGGTGGTGTGGAGTTACACCTGGCACGTAAGAAGAGGGACTAGCCCCAGTGACAAAGGCACGTGTCTCTCAGTGCTGTGCCCTAGGACTCAGAGGGCCACCACCTCAGAGAGAAGAGTGATGAAATCCTGGGTTGAAGAGAAAGCCCCTCCCCTCTAGAAAACCTCTGGTGGGGGTGGGAGTCAGCCGTGAGGGCTGGAATGTGGGCTGCCAGGCAGAGGAAGGGATGGTTAGTGCTCTGGAAATTCCAGAGATAAGACAGAAAAGGCCCGGCCTCAGAGGTGGTGGGGAGAGCCTGATCTTCTGAACTATTCTTCCCTCTCAAGACACGAGCATGAGAGAATGCCCAGGTCAGCTTTTGAAGCCACTGTGTGGTCACAACTGCTGGCTTTCTTCTATCCTCATCCCACAGTTGGCTCCTTGGGCACTAGAAGTCACAGCTCAGACCTGGGGTGCTGAGTTAACAGAGGAAAGAGCAGGTGCAGAAGGCAAAGTGATGCCTACATCAGCCCGTGCCCAGAAAGGACAGGAGGGGGACTGTGGGTAACTGATTACTCAGAGCACCTTTTACCTGATCGAGTAATTCGTAAATAGAAGCAAACTCTCCTTTTGTGAAAAAGGCTGACTTAATTCACCCACTGAGTACCCAGTCTCCTACAAGCATGTTCTTGTAGAAAGGTATGTCTACCTCCTCAATGTCAAGGAGAAAGCAGAGGAAAGAGATGTCTAGTCCTCTCTGGCCTCTAGGTCTGCAGGAAGAAAAGCTAAGCCAATGCTCCCAAGGCCAGCAATACCTCACCAGAACACCACTCTGCTCAGGGGCTCCGGAAAGCCCTCTCATCTTCTCAAGCAGTACTGGCTTTGGGGGAACTTTTGGGGTCCTGCAGGTCTCTGACCCCTCAGCTCCTCCCATTTATTAGCTCCCTGTTAGGCTGGTTTCGTATTCAGCTGCACATCTGTAATACTCCTTACGTGGTCTGGAGAATCATGCTTTTAAGGCTCTTACTTGGGCAAGTTCTGGGGACCAGCCTCAGGACCTTTTCAGGTTGAGACTTTGAAATGGCTTCGGATCTTGAGAACCCTTTCCCCACTGCTTCTTAGCTGTTCTCACTCTCTGCACTAGAGTTCTGCTCACAGGGCCACCAATCAATCAGAGGATTCTGTCCTGGGGAAAGGAGGTATGTGGCCTTTGTCCAGAGAGATCAGATGGCAGGTAACAAAGAAATACTGTCTCTCAAGTGTGCACCTGGGTAAAAGACCAAAAGGAGCAAGCCTCTTTCATGAATGGAACCACTATTCCTGACAGTGGAACATAGTGACCAGTATGAAGGGAATTCTCCCTCTAGCTCATTTTCATTTAAATACCCTCTGACCTTCAAGTTCTCCTTCCCATGGATCATCTTTGTTTCCCAAGTTTCCCTCAGTGGAGTGGTGGAGTAACGAGGTAACGTGATTCTGGTATACAACAGACTCTTAGAAGTGCAGAGTTACATGAAGTAATACATTTGAAATGAACAATTTCACAGCGTGTCTTCCAGTGGTAGTGTCACTGGATGAAGTAAGGAACTGGCACTACGCTGCCAACTCCCTCACTCCACCCTACACACCCTGAAACACATGACCAAATCTGGCAATAAACATTCCTGGGAATGACCCTGTTCCTGAGGGTTTAGAAAAAGTGAATGAGCGAGTAGGGGAAAGAGGAAGACGGGCAACTGGAAGGAGCCAGAGCCCGGCCAGGGCAACTGAATGGCAAATCATGCACACGCACAGTCACAGACAGGCATGCCAAACCCCACCGGTACAAACTCTACTTACTTCAAGAACCTGCTGCTCAATACCAGTAGGAAAGCCAAGGGAAAGGAGGAAGGAAGGGGATGGGAGGCAGAAGAAAAGAGAAGATATTGACAGGCTTTAGGAAAAACATCCTCAGGTCATTTATGAAGCAGAGAAGGAGCCGATGAGGTTTCTCAGGCCCCACAATGGCTGATTCCTTGGCCCCAGTGGAGGGTGCTCATTCTGTCTGGCTCTAGACTATCCCCCAAAGTCTGACTTAGCCAAAGGGGATCAGGGGTCCTTGGAACAGACTGGGTGGAAGCCTCCCCTGGGCAAGTCCCTGCTCCGGCTGAAGTGACCCTCATCCTCTCCTTACCCCTGGGCTGGATGATCACAGTACTGCTCCTGTAGTGTGGCTTTCTTCTCCCGTGACCCACTCAGGGTCACAGACCCTGGCCATCATGCCTGGCCTCTCTTGTGCTTTCAGTGACATTATTGTGTCCTGGGACCATACAAAGTGCTTTCTATGTACTCAACTAGCAAATCTTCCCAAAAGTCCTGACACAGAAACTTCTATTATTTTCACTTTACAGACAGGAATAATAGCAGACCCTACTAAGGTGGACTGAACTGGACTTAGGCGGAGTGGAGAAAGGGAGGATGCCCTCCCCAGCTTTTATGTGGAGCTGGCAAGGGTATTTTTGGAGGGATTGACACACTCAGTAATATGTAGGTCACCCATGGTTTCAACACCCTCAGCAACTCTCAGCACCTTTATTCTTCCAGACAACAGAGGAGCAAGCATCAAGTGCTCCTCAGTTTCTCAGAGAAACGTCTCTCTTCAGAGACTGTTAGTCCCTTTTCTAGAGAGCAGGCTTTTGTTTCCCAGCTCAGACGCTCCTTATCCAAAGACTCTGGTGCAGAGCTTCCAAGAGAAAAGCGCTTCCCTCCATGCGCGGCTGCCAGCAGGCTCACCTCGGCCTGCAGGCTCTCCAGCCGGATGATGTGCTGGTTGGTTGACGAGTTTTTCTCTCGAAAGTCTTCTCTGAGGGCGTGGACCTGCATGGAGAGTTGCCGCTCAACTTCTGATGCCTGCAACAGAGGAGACCTTCAGAGCCGATTCGGAGGTGGGGAGGAAGTCTGCCAGCATGCCTGCCTTTCATTTCTCAAGCATCTCTTTGAACTTTCCATTCCATAAGGAGTTCCGGATGAGAAGCTGCCTTCCCACCCACAATCCATTTGTTCTGTAGCACCAAAGCAGGACACACCCCACCCCCACCATCAATGACTGTCTAGGGCCAAGACCATCTTATCGACTAGAAGCAACAGGTCCAGGAGAAAGGGATCTTAAATGTTATCATTATTATTCTGCATATTTAGAAACTCAGCAAACATCCTCACCTTAAGAGAAAGCCTCAGTATTTAATATGAAGTAATGACAGATACACCTTCAGTTTTAAGAGTCCTTTATTTCTCCAATCCACCCGCTTGGCTGGGTTCAGGCAAATCACCTCTGCCTGCATTTCTTACTTCCACTCAACACTGGTACTATTTTGTTGTTGTTGTTGTTGTTGTTTTGGTACCAGGGACTGAACCCAGGGGTGCTTAACCACTGAGTCACATCCCCACCCCTTTTTATTATTCAAGACAGGATCTTGCTAAATTGCTTAGGGCATAAATTGCTGAGACTGGCCTCAAAATTGTAAGCCTCTGTTTCAGGCTTCCGAGATTCTGGGATTACCAGTGTGCACCAAGAGTGCAACAACACTGTCACTATTTGAAATTCCTTGTTGTATCTGTTAAGATTTTGGCCATTCCTTCCCCAAGAACATTTTTGTTTTGTTTTTTGCAACATAATTCTGAGGGAGTGCTGACTGAGGTACTTGCTTCTTTTCCATTCCACCCACTTATTCTCTAGTGTTGCAGGGGGGTCCTCTGAAAGAAGATTCCCTTAGTAAGACATGAACTCTGGCCTCCTGAAGGCTCAGACTGACCCCACTGCAGAGGGCTCTGCAGGATGCCCTACAGATAGCCTTGGACAAGCCAAGTAACTGCCTCAGTGATCTTCTGAGGCCAGATGGGGGTCAGTGAGCTTTATGGGTTCTTGGGGAGAGATCACCATGTACTGGGATGGTTAGAAATGGCTTTAAGGAGGTGGGATGGTGATCATAATGTTGAAATGGTTGGCTAGCTGCTTAATGAGCCTCTCTTTGTTTTTTTTTTTTTTTTTTTTTTTTAATTTTTTATTGTTGGTTGTTCAAAACATTACATAGTTCTTGATATATCATATTTCACAATTTGATTCAAGTGGGTTATGCGCTCCCATTTTTACCCCATATACAGATTGCAGAATCACATCAGTTACACATCCATTGATTTACATATTGCCATACTAGTGTCTGTTGTATTCTGCTGCCTTTCCTATCCTCTACTATCCCCCCTCCCCTCCCCTCCCCTCCCCTCCCCTCTTCTCTCTCTGCTCCCTCTACTGAGATTCGTTTGTCCCCCTTATATTATTTTTCCCCTTCCCCTCACTTCCTCTTGTATGTACTTTTGTATAACTCTGAGGGTCTCCTTCCATTTCCATGCATTTTCCCTTCTCTCTCCCTTTCCCTCCCACCTCTCATCCCTGTTTAATGTTAATCTTCTTCTCATGATGAGCCTCTCTTTGTAATGGTCACATCTTCAGCAGTTCTCTTTATTTTCAAGTGCTATATAATTAATTGTCTTTTTTGGTTCCACAGATTCAGCACACATGGCCTCACTTGAGAGTCACATAAGAAACTTATTTCTATTTTTTTAAACAATGAATTACAAAACACAAAACAATAAAACCAAATTAAAACACCTTTTTCTTTTATATTCCAAGTTTAATTTCAGACACCACTGGCTTGTTTTAGATGTCTCACTTAAACATTAGTTTAACATTAGTTAACATTTACTGAGTACTTATTAAGTGCCAAGAACTATTATGTTAAATGCTTTCAATGTCCTCTCTCACCTGTCACCCTTTTCTTCACCAACAAGGGAGTATATTCAGGGAAGTGAAGGAACCTGCCCAGGACTTCAGCAGGTGAGACCATCAGGATAATAAACTCTGGGCTTCTCACTCTCAGAGTAGGACTGCAATATTGCCTTCTTGTACTTTTAAATAGCTTTTCCATTGCTCACTACCCAAACCTAACTTTACATGAGTTCAATTTAGTCTTTTCTTTTTTTAAATACTAAGCAATTTCATTTAAGGCTCCCGGAATGTCTTCTAATGGAATGGAGGACCCTTTCATGTGCTACAGTTTCATTGCCTGTACATAATTCTGAGGTTTTAAACATAATTGAATCTGCAAAGCACTGGGTAACTCAGGTAGCTATTGGTATCCCTGGCACCACCCCCTTGACTTGACTCTCAAAGCCAAAGTGATGTGCTCAGTCTACAAATCAAGCTCAGCTATTCTAAGAAATGCTTCTGTAGACAAGTCTCTGCTCAAAGTGATCTTTCTAGAAATGGAAATCTGTCTCTTCTTACCAAGCAGTTTGACTCTTAAACCACTGAACTATAAAACTATGTTTCCTTTCAATGCGTGACTCCTCAGATGTGCCTAGAGATGTACGACTTTCAAAGGCTTTTAATCTACATTTCTCTTGTGAATCTCTATTAGCTTGAAGAAGCAGGAATCACTGGCCTCTGTATGCAGACCTTTCCTGGGGGTGGTGGGAGGTTCATTCTTAAATAGAGTAGAAAATGACAGGCATGGTTTACTTCTCAAATCATGAGTTTTTACTCACTGTCCCTGATTAGGCAGCAAGTAAGAGTTGAAACAAAATCCAGCATCTGGGTAATTAGCATTTCCATCTCTCTCTCAGCACTTCATGTTTGTGCCTTTGAGCTCCTCAGTATACACTGTATACATGTATTGAATTATATGGTACTCTGTACAATTAAAAACATCATTAAAAAACGAAACAAACAGGGGCTGGGTTTGTGGCTCAGCATAGAACGCTTGCCCAGCACGTGTGGGGCACTGGGTTCGATCCTCGGCACCGCATAAAAAAAATAAATAAAATAAAGGCATCTGTCCAACTAAAAAACAAAAACGAAACAAAAAAACCTTTCAACATCTGTAATCATGGGTAAATGTAAAATAGATGCCAAGATTTTAGTCAGATATTTGTCCTTTTCAAATTTCTTTCCCTTATAATAAAAGCAGCAGATGTTCAGGTTGAGGGGAAAAATAAAAAATTAAACAAAAGTTAATTTCCACTTACCCCTAGTCATTACTGTCACTCCCCAGAGGTAGTCACTATCACAAATTTTTCTTGTGGGTCTTCCTAGAAAGTTTCTATTCTATTCACACCTATGTATAACAATACCTAAAACCTTCCCTTTAAAAATACATGTATTTCAGGATGGGGATATTGCTCAGTGGTAGTGTGTATACACAAGACCCTGTGTTTAATACATGTGTGTATTATATATAAATGAACATCTTTTCATCTCAATATGTAGATCTGCCTTTTTTGGGGGGGTGGGTACTGGTGATTGAACCCAGGAGTGCTTAACCACTGAGCAACATCCCCAGCCCTTTTGATTTTGAAATAGGGTGTCGATAAGTTGCTGTGGCTGGTCTTGAACTTGTGATCCTCCTGTCTCAAGCTTTCCAGGTTGCTGGATTACAGACATGTGCCATTGTGTCCAGCTGTCTTATTATTTTTAATAGCTAAACAAGTATATCATAACTTAAATTATAAATACATGATGATTTAACTATTTCCTACTGATGAACATTTAAAAAGAGTGTTCCAAAAAATTTATTTTGCTATTATAAATATTGCTGCAAAACCCATTTTTGTTCACCCATCTTCATGCTTGTAGAATACCCCATAAGTAAATACATTCCTTAAGTAAAATCTCTAGGTAAAAAAATATGCACATTCATTCTGACAAGTACTGAAAAAACTTTCCTCCATGGTTGTGGCATCAATTTATTGTACAAAATGCTTACTTCTCAATACTGTGCTGGGTATTATGAAATCATTTCATCTTTACTTATTTCCAGTATCTTTAAAAACTTAAATCTCTTTAACTTTCACTGTATGCAGAAAACAGAAAATGTTCTAGAAATAACTCTAGTTCTGTTAACAGAATGCCAAGAAATTTAACACTCACATGGTCCCTGACCTATCCTAGTGCTTGGGTTACTGTTGTTCAACCAATCCTCCAGCGTGAAACACTCTGACAGTGAGTTCTCTCTCCCTGATGGGGCAACTGGGTCAGAGGACCACTGCAGACACATTACCTCCTCTATACTGTGCAGAGATGTTCCCCAATTACTTTTCTTACTGACATGACTAGCAACAAATGAACATTTTCCCAAACTGAAACATTTAGATTAGGTTTGTTTAAACTGGCCAAGGCAAAACTGTTAACTATATGTTTTGTATTAAATGGAGGAAAGGAAACTGCGTTAGTTACCCACAAACATTCATTCATTTGTCAAAAGGAAAAATAATAACAATTAACTTAGAAATTATTGCAGGAAAGATCTATCATATTAATATTATGCTGGAAGAACCAAGTCTTACTTTAGTACAGAAAATTTCCATATGTCTGCTACCAAAGCATGACGGACCATGGGCACCTTGGGAGTGGCAGTGAGAGTGACAGGATGATGATGACAGCTATAGCAATAGTTCACACACTGAGCATCTGTCATGTGCTTGACCTGGATCTAAGTAGTTCACATTTACTATTTTGTTTAATCTTCATAATAATAAGAAGTAGTAGGAACCTGAAGTTTCCCACTTAAAGCTGCGGAGACTGAGGTAAGTCCTACCGGCAATGCTAAGTGCTGGATTTAGGGTTCTCACCCCAAAGGCCGCCTCTAGTCAGACTTGACACAAGAGTGTCCCCTTTCCATTCCATTCCTCACTCAAAATGCTTCTCAAACTGAAAGTGACATTACAGCAACAACCTTTAAAGTACCCTAATTTTAGATAAGAAGAGAATTTTCAAAAAATATTGTGGTTGAGAACTACTGCTCTAGGACCATGTTGCCCCCGCTTTTTTTTTTTGATACTGGGGATTGAACCCAGAGGCACTTAACTACTGAGCCATATTCCCAGCCCCATTTACTTTTAATTTTAAGACAGAGTCTCACCAAGCTGCTTAGAGCCTCACTAAGTTGTGGAGGCCAGCCTTGAATTTGTGATCCTCCTTGTTCAGCCTTCCAAGCCACTGGGATAACAGGTGTGTGCCACCACGTATGGCTCTCCACATTTTTTTATTTGTGCATATAGTTGTACATACTGATGAGATTTGTTATATATCCATAGATGCACACAATATCACAATATAATTTGGCTAATATTACTCCCCGTTACTCCTCCCTCCTTCCCCTCCACCTTGATCCCTTTTCTCTACAGATCTCCCTTTGACTTTCTTGAGATCCACCCCCACTTTTTTTTTTATCCTCTCTAGCTTCTGCGTATGAGAGAAAACATACAGCCTGTAACCTGCTGAGTTTGACTTATTTCCCTAACATGATGGTCTCTAGTTCCATCCATGTTCCTACAAAACACATTTCATTCTTCTTTATGATGAAATAAAACTTTACTGTGTATATATACCATATTTTCTTTAACCATACATCTGTTGATAGACAGCTGGTTATATAGTTTGCTACTGTGAATAGTGTTGCTGTAACCATGGGTGTGCATGTGTCACTGGAGTACGATGACTTCAATTCTTCCGGAACAAGGAGTGGCAGAGCTGGGTCATATATGGTGGTTCCATGCCTAGTCTTTTGAGGAACCTCCATACTGATTTCCACAGTGGTTATACCAACTTACAATCTGAGCAACAGTATAAAAGAGTTTCTTTTTCTCCACATCCTCTCCAGCATTTATTATTAATTTTATGCTTGATGATTGCCATTCTGACTGGCGTGAGATGAAATCTCAGTGTAGTTTTGATTGTGTTTCTCTAATTGCTAATGCTGTTGAACATTTTCCATTTGTATTTCTTCTTTTGAGAAGTATCTGTTTGATTCATTTGCCTATTTATTAATTGGGTTATTTGAGTTCTTTGTGTCTTCTAGATATTAATCCTGTCAGATGAGTAGTTAGCAAAGATTTTCTCCCATTCTGTAGGTTTTCTCTTCACATTCCCAATTGTTTCCTTTGCTCTGCCGAAGCCTTTTAATTTGATTGGCATCCCATTTATTAACTCTTGGCATTACTTCCTGAGCTTTCCTGGGTCTATTGAGAAAGTCGATGCCTGTGCTAATGTGCTGGAGTGTTGACCTACATGTTCTTCTAGGGTTGCAAAGTTTCTGGTCTAATTTCTAGGTTTTTGATCCATGTTGAGTTGATTTTTGTGCAGGGTGAGAACTAAGGGTCTAATTTAATTCTTCTACATATGGATACCCAGTTTTCCCAGTGCCATTTGTTAAAAAGGCAGGCTTTTCTCTAGTGCTTGTTTTTGGCACCTTAGGACACTTTTTAAAGAGTAATTAATTTGTTTGTTTTGTGGTACTGGGGATTGAACCCAGGGCACTGTGCATGCAAGGCAAGCATTCTACCAACTGAGCTATATCCCCAGCCCAAGTAATTAATTTTTTAAAAAGTTTAAATGTAACAAAACCTTCTACAGAATATAGGTATTTAAAAACAATTTAGTTGATTTCCTCCAATCTTTCTGTATGTGTATTATTAGTTATAATCATACTATTCATACTTTTTTCACTTACAACTTTTTATCAAAATCATTTCCAGATTACTATTGCTGACTAATTATCACTATATGACTGCATAATATTCCATCATGTAGATGGATTATAATTTCCTTTCCAATGGGTTATAATTACTTTCTCATGGCAATAAGTGCCATGAGCCTACTGCTAACAGCCTATTGCTAATATATTACAGGATAAGCCTCCCAATTGTTCAGCATCTGTGATATCCCCATATTTTGCAATTATCATGCACTGATAAACACATGTCATTGGGTGACAGAACTTACATTTGTGTAAGAAGTGGAATGGACAACCTCTTTATTGTGTCAGAAAGGTAGATGAACATATATTAGAAAAAGTTTACACCAAATTTGAACCAAAAATGAGTTTCTGATTAGTTTTTGCTGAACTGCAAGTTCAAGTCAATTAACCACGACTGTATTTTCTGATTTTCAAGGTTTTACTATTAAAACTTTCAATTTTGGCAATGGATACCATGAGCCTATTGCTAACATTTTACAGGATAAGCCTCCTCTTTACTCTCTTAGGTATTCATAGTAATAAAAATGATAGCTATCTACTGGATGATAAATAAATGCAAAAAATAGTTCACTATTCTTGTTAGGCTTGAGTATGCTAATTCTCCAAAAAGCCTCTCAAAAATAAAGCTCAGAAGTGAAGTCTATCGTGTATTTTTAGTTTACTAATATGTTTTTTGTTATTCTGGGGATCACGTGTAGTAGTGATCTACCACTAGGGTACATACCCAGCCCGTTTTATTTTTGATTCGAGACAGGGTCTTGTTAAATTGCTGAAGTTGACTTCAAATTCTCCACTCTCTTGCCTCAGATTCCCAAGTAGATGGGATCACAGGCGTGTACCATTATACCCAGCTCCTATTTTCCTTAATGTTTGAAGACAATAAGATTTTCGAAGGAAATTCTTCATTTATGGTAATAAGAAAGATAAGGTTATTTGGACTGACCCTCCTACTGAAAAAATGCTAGATAAATAGAACACACTTAAAAGCATCAAAGAGTTGACAAGTTAATGACAGAACCATGGGTCATGTTTCACACATGCAAATAATTACAACCAGTCAATGGAACAACAACAGAACCAAACAAACTGAACTGCAGTACAAATGAGTAACATAACTACCCTTGAAGGGCTGGAGAAGAAAATACTAACCATACAACTCTGGAAACAGTCTGTTTTGACTGCACAGTACAAGGTTCAAGAGAAAAGATGCTGCACTGTAGTTAATTTGTTTCTCGGGAACATGAGTTAGCAATTCTGAAACTACTGATTCATGTTTATTAAAACTGAACAAATGAGTGAATATACCATGGATCATGAGAATCAGTGTTTTCTCTCACAGAAAAAGAAGTTACAAATAAGAAGGAAGGCTAGGGCTGGGGATGTGGCTCAAGTGGTAGCGCGCTCGCCTGGCATGCGTGCGGCCCGGGTTTGATCCTCAGCACCACATACAAAACAAAGATGTTGTGTCCGCCAATAACTAAAAAATAAATATTAAAATTCTCTGTCTCTCTCTCTCCCTCTTTCACTCTCTCTCAAAAAAAAAAAAAAAAAAGAAGAAGGAAGGCTAGAATGAACCACATAGAACTGGAATGGAATCAGAGAGAGCAGCCATGAACTTGTGGTTTTTAATATAAATTTATAGGGAGAGATTGAGAAATGAATACAGATGTGTTTGTGTGTGTATTTTAGGGCACACACACTTATTTCTTAGCTCTGTCCTCTGAGAAGGCCTAAAAGCAATGACACCCTAGTAGCAATAAGCACACCTGGTGCTCGGATATTAGTTTCTAAATACCACTGTCTAATATATGAACCCAAACTCCCTGGGGAAATGATTGGTTCCAGGTTTGGGGCAGGAAAAATCAAAGTTGCACTTGGAACATTTTATGGTACTAGACAGAAAGAAAGTGCTTTAAAAATGATAGTGACACACTGAACTGACACAGAAGTCAACCCAAAGGAGCTCCTGATGGCTAGGGCTGGGACCATCATTATCAATACACAAATAATCATGTGGTTAAGATACATAGGATAACATAATATTCATGAGTTCACATTGACAAATGATTGAACAGAAAAATGGAGGGAAAGGGAGCTGTTTTTCCTTATAGGATTCTAATGAATACAAAGAAGAAATGATGGAAACAAAATCATCACTATGCAAGCATTACAGTAAAGACCACTGTAGGCAAGAAACAGAGAATGAATGCTAAAATTAGTGGGCAAAAATCTGATGAGAGGGCTGGGGATGTGGCTCAAGCGGTAGAGCGCTCGCCTGGCATGCGTGCGGCCCGGGTTCGATCCTCAGCACCACATACAAAGATGTTGTGTCTGCCGATAACTAAAAAAAAAAAAAAATAAAAAAATATTAAAATTCTCTCTCTCTCTTAAAAAAAAATATGATGAGAAACAGGATATTTACAATATCTCAAAGTACCTCCCCACAAGATAATTTCACAGGGAAAAATAGTAATTATACAGTGGGGAAGACTGGCAGCCACTACCTTAACCAAGAGATCAAAGTTAACATCACCAATAAAAGGACACAGCAACACTGCATGTCCCCAATATAATATGCCAAGAGAATGTAACTCTGAACCTCTATGCTACTCTTGGCAAAAGCATATAACCTTGGCTTATCTGTGACACACAGATCCACACCGAGGGATTTCCTACAGAATTTTAACAATACTCTATCAAGTACAAGAAAAACAAAGAAAACTTGAGAAACTATCAGAGATTAGAGGAGAGAAAGGAAATATGACAACTAAATGCAATATGGGAGTTCACACTGGATCCTGGACCAGAAAGAGGACATTTTTGGGGAACTTGCAAAATTCTAGTATGTACATAGATTAGTTTTATAGTAATGCTGCAATATAAATTTCCTGGTTTTGATAACCAGTATTACGATTACTGAGATATTAATACCCCGGGAGCTGGATACGAAGGCTGTATGAGAATTTTTGTATTGTTTTTGCAATTTCTCTTTAAGTATAATTCTGTTTTTAAAATCCCAGATTAGTTGTTCCCCTAGATACTTGATAGAGGAAAGCACAGATCCTGTCTGGAGAATGATACCCCATGAAGCTGAGCAGCCCTTCTCAGTGGCTCAGCACACTGAGACCCTGAGAAGCAGAGGTTCAGCCTCACTCTCCCACAGGAAGCAGAAGGACTCTTTGAGCAGGGTGATCCCCAGAAGCCCTGCAAAGTCACCTACGCAGATCTCAGATGCGGACAGGTTTCTAAATAGGCCCACTAGTGCAGCCTAGACCTCACTACTAGGCATGACGCACCACACCTAACTCTGCCCAGTGGGGTGGCCCCACCTCATACAACACATGGAAACTGATAGGTACCCTATACCAGCAGCTGGGCACACTGTAACCGGATCTGCCAGCAAATTTTCCCCACTGAATGGCACTGCATCCCAGCTGTTGATGCATTTCCACAATTTCTGTAGTTTAGGCCAGAGACACTTGCAGACATTGCCAACATTGAATATAGCTAAAGAATCTATATGGATAGTCAAGCACCCACCTGAGACTACAGCCAACACAACATATCCAATCTATACGTAGGACACATCTCCCCCAGAAAGTCTTTTACTATGAAGACCACTCCATAAAGCTGATAGAGACAAGTGACTTGCCAGATGGGCAAATACCAATGTAGGGACACAAGAAGCATGGAGAAAACAAGGCAACATAACACCTCAAGCAGGGCATGGTGGTATATGCCTGTAGTGTCAGTGACTCAGGAGACTATGGCAGGAGAAATCACTTGACCCAAGAGTTCCAAATCAGCCTGGGCAATACAGTGAGACACCACCTCCAAAACAACAACAAACTTCCAAAGAAAAAATAGTACCTCTCCAGCAACAAACTCCAAAAGAAATGGAAATAGACAAATTGTCTGACAAAGAATTCCAAATGATTTTTAAGGAAATGCAAGGGGATACACGTGAAAACAGTCAATTCATTGATATTACAAAGACAGTGCATGATATGAATGAGAATTCAGCAAAGAGACAGAGATCATACAAAAAAACCAATCAGAAATCTTAGAGCTTAAGAACTCAATAAATGAAATTTAAAAATTTAGTGGAGAGCCTCAATAGTAAAACAGAGATTTCTGAGCTTGAAGATAGGGCTTTTGAAATAATCAAGTCAGATTAAAAGAGGAAAAAAAATTATAACAATTGAAAAAGTCTTCAAGACCTACAGGATGCCATTAAGTCAACAAACATTTACACCATGGGTATTCCAGGGAGAGAAGAGAAAAGGGAAAAGACATAGAAAACCTATTCAATGACATAATTGTTGAAAACTTTCCAAATTTTGAGAAAGATATGGACATCCAGGTTCAGTAAACACAAAGGACCTCCTATATTTGACCAAAAAGATTCTCTCCAAGGCTTATTATAATCAAATTATCAAAAGTAAAAGACAAATTCTAAAAATAGCAAAAGAAAAGCACCCAGTCACTTGTAAGTGAATCTCCATTGGACTTCTCTTCAGGAAACTTACAATGGGATAAAATTTCTAAAGTCCCAAAAGAAAACAAATTGCCAACTCAAAAATAAATCAGAAATCTATCCTTCAGAAATTAAGGAAAAATAAAGATTTTCCAAGACAAGCAAAAACTGAGGGAACCCATCACCACCAGATCAGCTCTACAAAAAAAAAAAAAAAAGAAAGAAAGAAAGAAAGAAAAGCCTAAAAGAATCCTATATTAAGAGCAAAAGGATATAACTTCAGTCAGGTATGATGGCACACTCCTGTAATCCCTGCCATTCAGGAGGCTGAGGCAGGAAGATCACAAGTTCAAGGCCAGCCTCAGCAAAAGTGAGGCACTAAGCAACTCAGTGACAGCCTGTCTCTAAATTCAATACAAAAATAGGGTTGAAGATGTGGCCTAGTGGTCGAGTGCCCCCAAGTTCAATCCCTGGTACTCCCTGCCTCAAAAAAAAAAAAAAAAAGGAAAATAACTTCAATCACAAAAAAACCCTGAGGGACTTCTAAGTGCCCACATTTTAAAAACTTTTTTTTTTTTTCAAATATACAACATAATGGTGCAACTCAAGGAACTATATAAGCAAGAACAATCCAAATTCAAAATTAGGAGAAGGAAAGAAGATTAGTGCAGAAATAAATAATTCTGAAACAAAAGAGCAGTCAAATAAAGAGCTGGTGGTGTTTTTTGTTGTTTGTTACTGGGGATTGAACCCATGGCCTTTTGCATGTGAGGCAAGAATTCTGCCAACTGAGCTATATCCCCAGCCCCCTAGTCCCTATGTCTAATTTTATTTGAGCTAACTTTGAAACTAGAGCACAATAACAGTTTTGTTGCTATCATCCTTTAAATCACTATCATTAATATAATCCTTCAGAAGAAAACATCAGCAACTCCAGCAGCACAAGCTTTAATTAAGGGGGGAAAAAAGGACAATTGTTAATCTGGTTAATCTGCTTTGTTTCAGAAAAGAGGACGATTATTCAAAGTCAGATCCCTGCTGCTAGTTAGTGAAAAAGTCTTCTGCAGTCAGAAAGAATAGATATTTAAATTTTATTTTTTAAAAAGTTCTATAAGAATTCATAAAATCGGCTGGGGTTGTGGCTCAGTGGTAGAGCACGTGCCTAGCACATGCAAGGCCCTGGGTTCGATCCTCAGTACCACATAAAAATAAATAAATAAAATAAAGGTATTGTGTCCAACTACAACTACAAAATGAACATTTAAGAAAAAAAGAATTCATAAAATCAGCCTCAGATATTTCCAACTCACTGTCTTCACAAGTACAGCATTTGATTTACTCTGAATTTTGTGTGTTTGCTTTTTTTTTTTAACCCAAATGACCCAATGGTGTGTTAAGTGGGTGGCCTAGCCCTTTGCACTAATTCCTACATGGATGGACTATTTGCTTAACTATGTTTTGAATTGAGGATTCAGAGATGAATAAGATATAGCTCTTGTGGGAAAAGTCTTCCAACCTTGAAATCTAGAAAGAACATGATCTTTCTTCTCCACATGATCTCAGGAGAACTGCTTCACTTTCCATGTCCTGGTTTCTTCAATATAAAATGAAGATAAAGTAGCACCTGACTCATAAGGTTGCAAAGGAAGTTAACACATGGAAAGAGCTTAGGACTGCTGTTGTGTTACTGTCTTCCTCATCTTCATGACTGCAAGCCACAGCCAGAATAACAAATTAAACATAAACAAAATACAGAAGAAAAAGCTAAGGAAATCTGGCCTGGGAAGTGATGGAAAGAATGACTGCCCCAAATGAGCAGTTGCAAGGAATTTAGGGACTCTTTCACCCATGAGAGATGGGTAAAATAGAGAAAAATATATAGGGAGCCAGGGAGAAATACGGCATTGCACAGTCTCCAAGAAGACATCCGCCCTGGAACAGACTTCCTTCTTTCCTCAGGGTAGAAAATACTCAGTACTACGGACTTCCTGGAATGTGAACTGTTTATGCTTTCAAAAGGAGATTACATGGAGATCCCTGGAAAAGAAACCGAGAACCTTCTCATGGTAACCAGAAAGGCTGGGGGAAGGTCACACACTGAACAGCATTCTACTCAGCAACCTGTGAGCAAGGACAGTGATGGGGACGGGCTGTGGCACACCCTCAGCCTCCACCACAAGACACGTGATGTCACAGGGCCACATTTAGGACTCCCTCAGAAAATAACTGTCATATCTAATCCTAATAAGGAAAGAAAATTCTAGTATTTTAAAGTTTTCTTTTGGCTCTAGGACTTACTAAGGGACCTAATTAGACATAAAAAGTGGTTAGAGTTTTAAAATATTCTTGTTTGGAGCTGGAGAAGAGTTAGGGAAAAAACACACTCTAAACCGGTGGCCACTTTCTTTTCATCATCACCAAACACACCTGACTATTGATCAAATTATGCCTTTTCTCCTAAGTGCCATGTCCCACGACTGTGCTTGTGGTATGCTGACTTTTGGGAAGTCTTTTCCCAAACTGTCATTTTAACAGCTCAGTTCAGAGGTGACCTCTATATGACCTTATCCTCTGCAAAGGTGAAATCACGTTATCTGTAGCACTATGATGCTCTGTTACAGCACATGTCACACATACTGTTTTCTCTTAGATCATAAAGGACACGAGGACAAGAACTCCATCACCAATTTATCTGTTTCCCTAATAAAGTACATAGCACATAGTAGGTGCTCAAATGTTTACTCTGTGAGATAAAATCCAAATCATGAATGAGTCCTTTCTGTGATAGTCCAGCAATGACTACAGAAAACAGAAATAGGATTAAGTATAGGGGCACCCCAGAAGTGCCCCTATAGCAAGGCTCC